GAGCTGGGGAGGGCAAAGTTCAGGTTGTTTTGAAACCTACCCTGGCTTTTAATCATCACCAGATTCTTTTATTTCCCAGGCACACGTATATAGGCCCCATTGGCTAGGGATGTGTGGGTGGCTCAGGCTTCTCTGGTCTCTGCCGTGCATTCACCCAGCTTCTAGTTAACCCAAGATATGCAGAGAGCTTATGAAACTTTCTATGTCTGTCTCACCCCCTGGAATTTTCTGATAAATTCCTGGTTAGTTCGCCAGTCCATTGATTGCCCCAAACATTGCTGAAACCCAGCCTAGCAGTGCTGCTAGCCTTCCCTGTTCTTGATACTATAACTGACAATGCCTCAAATTAAGTGAAGTCCTCTGGCAGAGACAGTGAAGCAGCTGATTTTTCACAGGCTGCATCACCTTTGTTGAAGTATTGCAACTGATAGTGTTGGGGGCTTGGTGAACAAAGGCAGCCTCAGGCAAGGATACTATAGAGTCATGCTATTCTTACCCAAAGTTCAGTAATTTTTATGAATACATGTTTCTTTGTTGTATGCCTTTGATTGATTTTCAGAGGGATAAAATGGTGGTTTTGACAATTTAGTCCTGCTTTAGAGTCTTATTTTCTTTTATGTTTTCAGTTTTATCTTTTAAGCTTAGAACTTTTAAACATCATTTAAAAGTTATTTTGTTTTAGCTAAAGTAACACTAGCTACTGTAACAGAGAAATCTTGAATTCTCAATGGCTTTATTCAATACAAGTTTAGTTTTTGTTTATATCACAATTTGTATTTTCTATTGCTATATAAATTATCCCCAAATGTAGTGTCTTTAAACAACAAATATTTATTATCTCACAGTTTTTGTGGGTCAGGAATCTGAGAGCAGCTTGGCTGGGTGCCGGTGGGTCAAGTGTCTCACAAAGTTGTGATCAAAGCTGCAGCATCTCAAGGCTTATCTGGGAGAAGATCTGCCTCCACTCGCACTCACGTGGCTGTTGAAAGGCCACAAATCCTTGCTGGCTACTGGCTGGGGGCATCTATTTCTTCTATGTGGGACTCACTACAGGGCTACTGACAACATAGCAGCCTGCCTTCCCTAGAGCAAAGGCTCTGAGAGAAGGAGAGTAAGAAAAGGTGTCTAAGATGGAAACCATGGTCTGTTTGTCACCTAAACTCAGAAGTGATATCCCATTGTATCTGCCATATTCTACTCATTATAGGTGGGTCAGTAAGTCCAGTCCACACTCATGAGAAAGAAATTACACAAGGGTGTGAATTCCAGGAGATGGAGATCATTAGGAGCTATGTCAGAGGCTGTCTACCATGTACTACACTCATCTTCAATGGAACTTTATCTATGGGAAGCATGAGCAGCTTGAATTAGGAGTGAGTTCCCCAGGAAATATTTTGCAATTGCTTCTGCTAGAATATCCCTGGTTTGGGACTGTTTTATGTTAATTTTTAATTTTGGGGGTGTGGCCCATGAAGGTTCATGCAGATACACAGTATCTGTCTGTGTGAGGACCAGCTTGTAGGTACAGATTCTTAGGGGATTTGCCTCTTTTCCCTTCCTGCCTCCCTGTACTTCAGACTAGCTTTCTTGTCATCAGCCTGTGGTGAAGACTAATTTTTTTTATTGTAGTCTACATTTTCATCAAAGGTTTCACTCTTCCTAACTTTATGCAGGTTCTCATTTCCAATTCCATGCTCCATGTGGGCCTAAAGCCTTCCTCCTGTGCCCAAGTGGGTATTAACACCTAAGCCTTTGCCAAAACACTGAGACCAACAGCTCCTGCCCCCACCTCCCGCCTCCACTGGGCTGTTTGCAGCATTGGCTTACACAGTTAATATTCTGATTTTCCAGTCTCCTCTTCGCTTTTGTCCCCTGGGGATTTATCTAGCTTTCTTGTGAGCTCAGCTATGCATATAAAGCAACATTTGTTATATTTTATCCAATGTTTTGAAAAAGGAGAGTTTTCTAAAGGTTATCTAAACTAAATAACACATGTAAAGTACACAGGATGTTGCCTCGCCCCCTGTTGGACCCATCAACTCTAGTCTGGACAATTCTCAATGAGGCGCAAGGCATTTTTACTTTAAATATTCCGTGAGCTTGGAAATGGCTACTGATTCTCAGTCTGGTTTGGAAAAAGGCTAAGGATCTCATCCCAAGAGGATTCTTTGACTCTGACTTTCCTGTTTAAGTGGGTGTTAGGGCAAGTAGGGTGGAAGTCAGTGCAGGAAGGAGCATTCACAGCACACTGTTACAGTTTTATAATTGTAAGATAGTCAAGATCAACTTGGGTGCAGTGTTTCTCTGGGAATCTCTCTGACTCTGTTTCCCGTGTCCTGGTCTCCTGTTGCAACCCCAGATGCTCCTCTTGGCCAGCTCAGCTGGCAGGTGTATGACCTGAGGGAGTTGTTCACCCTCTTTCGTCTGCCTTGGATAGAATTGGTAGTGAGTATAGCCTGTGGGTGGGATTTCAAGAGTTTCGGAACCCCAGGGAAAGAGGCACTTCTTATTCTGAGTGGTATTGTTGCTGTGATTTAAGAGCCTCTTGTTGCTAATAATAGTAGCTAAAGTTTATTGAGCATCTACTGTGTGCCAGATATTATGTCTAGTGCTTTACACACAGAAGAGGACTAGAGAGACAGAAATATACGACAGAGTGAGATTCCTTTCATCCCTGGTGTCCAGACTCGAGACCAGTGTGCTTTCTGCTAGGGTTAGATTAGCTCCCCTGTGCTCCAAGAGGGATACTCTGGGCTGTATTTGCTCTAGTTGGGGAGTGTCTTGAGCCTAGACCATAAATAGCAGGAGATAGTTCAGTTACTACATTTTAGGAAATACACTGGCAACTGTTGTCCTTGGTGCCCCAGAAATGCAGACAGAAAGACTGAGTGGTAGATGACAGAGCATCATGGTGAAAGCCACGACTGTCACACAAGTGTGACTTGTGACCCTCAAATATGAGAGAACTTAACTTCTACAGGATCTCAGATTTTTCCACGACCTGTGATTTCCATACACTTGTAATGAAACTCCTTTAGAAAAAGCTTCAAAAAGTCCAGGCAAACCTTTTTAATTACTGGGCCCACATTGGAACCACTGAATCTAAGTCTCCAGCAAATTTGGCTCTGAGCTTCTAAGCAGTTAAAGCAAGAGAGGTGTTTTGTTAACCCTGGGTTCAGATCTTTAGGGTGGGTTCTGAGTTAATGTAGGTTTAACAAGCTCCCCAGGAGATTCTGTTGCTCAATCAGCCTTACGTGGGAGCCAGGAAGCATGACATTTAATTTCAGTTTTATCACCTACCAGCTGGGCATCCTTAGACAGTTCATCTGCCCTCTCTGGGTCTTGTTTGCCCATTAATAGATCGTAATAGAAATGGCTCTATTTGAAGTAGAATCCAGTGAAATCATGTTACGCTTTGGAAACTGAATTATGGAAACATTGAACTGCAGTGAGATCTTTGTATGCCATTAACTGAGGGCTTGCTGTGTGCCAGTATGTGTACCAAAAGCCTCACTTGCTTTTCTTTGAGTCCCCTCAAGAGCCCTATGAAGATGGTACTATCATCACTCCCATTTGACAGGCAAGCAAACTGAGGCCTCCGAACTTTAACTTTCCCAGGCCATTCTGCTAGGAAGTGGTATAGCTGGCTGGGCACAGTGGCTCATGCCTGTAATCCCAGCACTTTGGAAGACCGAGGTAGGTGGATCACGAGGTCAGGAGATCAAGACCATCCTGGCTGGCCAACATGATGAAACCCTGTTTCTACTAAAAATACAAAAAATTAGCTGGGTGTGACAACATGCGCCTATAATCCCAGCTACTCAGGAGGCTGAGGGAGAATTGCTTGAACCTGGGAGGCAGAGGTTGCAGTGAATTGAGATTGTGCCACTGTACTCCAGCCTGGGTGACAGAGAGAGAGTCCATCTTAAAAAAAAAAAAAAAAAAAAAAAGGAAGTGGTATAGCCAGCACTTGAATCTAGGTGGGATCTCATTCATAGCCCATGCAGGCAACTCTGAGGCTAAGGCTATACTCCCTGATGCTTTGCCTGCTTGGAAGCTTAGGGTTAAATATGCACCCATCTTGAGCAATGTTCAGGACTTTGTCACCTGTGTTCTGAGTGTAGCACTTACCTCTGGTGGCACCTTTTCCTACCTTTACTTCTTCTTTGCACTAGTTTTCTCCTGTAATGTGAATGAAGCTGCAACCTCTATGGTATATTTAGTGTGGTGGTGTGCAGCACAGTTCCTTAAACAAAATTTTTGTTTTGCTTCTCTTCATACTTTAACTTATTTTTTTTTCTTTTAACACCATGGATTCTGCACCACCAAAAAATCAAACACAAAACCAAGAACTTCATCCAGCAATGGCTAAGCTTTCCTCAGAGGGGAAAGGTAGAGAAGGAACCCACTGGTTAAGCCAGGGCCAGAGTCAGTGGGCAGAAGGTGGGGAAAGGCTTGGGACACTGATAGATTAATCCCCGTCACTTACCCATTAGTTTCTGTCCTGCCACTTGGTATATACATGGGTTGCTTTCGATCAATTTAGTAATGTAATGGATTATAAATAACAAAAGGTGGCCTCCATGCAGTCCCTACCCCGATACTGGGCAGGAGGGTGTATGCCAGGTCCCTGCTCCTCTCTGTTGGGGTCAGGTGAGAGAAACGTCAGGGGCTGGGAGTAGGTGGCGAGGAAAGGAAAACATGGTGGTCTGTAGCCTGGGGTGCAGCCAGACAGACACCTGGAAGAGGCATAGGTTGGGTAGAGGTGGGTGTGGGATATTTAGAGGAAAGAATGGGCCCCAAGACAAGCCTGGGGAGCAGAATGGGGCAGAGGTGCTCCCATCTTTTTTTGCAAAAAGTTAGGGTTTCTTTTAGTTCAAATGTGGAAGAGTCGCCCGCAGCCGCTGTAGACACAGAGGTCTTCCTAAGGCAGAGTACCCAAGGGACTTCTACTCCCTCCCGGCCCCTCGTAACTGTCCTCCCTCGCCCCTCCCCCCCAGCTCAGCGATGAGTTGAACCAGCAGCTGGAGGCCGTGTGCGGGTCCGTGTTTGGGGAGCTGGAGTCCCAGGCCGTGGACGCCCTGGACCTGCCCGGCTGTTTCCGCATGCGGAGCCACAGCTACCTCCGGGCCATCCAGGCCGGCTGCTCTCAAGACGACGACTGCCTGCCCCTCCTCGCTGCCCCTGCTGCTGTCTCAGGGAGGCCCGGCTCCTGTGAGTACAACCCCCCTGCCCCTGGCCCCGCCCTAGGCTGGAGAGCGCGCAGGGTCTGGGTCCTGGCCATCCCCTCGACAGTGCTGTGACCCTGCGCAGATCGCTCCCTCCCGGGCTCGGGTGGCGCGGAGGGCGTCCCCTGGCGTGCGTGCAGCCCTACGTGGAGGAGGCGCCCCTGCAGGGTCCAGTAGGGCCGCTTGGGGGTGGGAGTCGGGGGCGGGCCCGGGACCCCCGCTGGGCCGCCAGCCTCAAGCACTGCGTCTCTGTGCCCGCCCGCCACAGCCTTCAACTTCAGAAAGGCCCCGCCCCCCATCCCGCCGGGAAGCCAGGCCCCGCCCCGCATCTCCATCACCGCCCAGAGCAGCACCGACTCCGCGCAGGAGAGCTTCACCGCGGCCGAGGGCCCCGCCCGGCGCTGCAGCTCCGCCGACGGCCTGGACGGCCCCGCCATGGGCGCACGCACCCTGGAGTTGGCGCCGGTGCCGCCCCGGGCCAGCCCCAAGCCCCCCACACTCATCATCAAGACCATCCCTGGCAGGGAGGAGCTGCGGAGCCTGGCGCGGCAGCGGAAGTGGCGGCCGTCCATTGGGGTGCAGGTATGGAACGGGGAGGCGCCCACGAGGGCTCTGACCTGGCTGGTTGGGGCTGGAGTGACCGGCTGGAAGCGGCCTTCTGGATATATCGACCTTCTTCGTGGCTTGCCCTGAGCTGCAAGTGGACCTCGTGCCTGGACATCGACGGGGCTGTTCCAGCCAGCCCTCGCCCACTCCCTTCTCCCTGTCCTGGCACCATCGCCCTTCCTGGCTAATGGAGGGCTGGAGACCAGTGGTTACCACTTTGAAGCCTGTGGCCGACCGCCTGGGTCTCTCCTCTTGTTAAGGCAGATGGTCAGATGGTCGTTGCAGCACCTGCCAGCTGGCTTGGGGCGCAGCCATTGCTAGCCGTTCTCCCTGGGAAGGGCTTTCACCTTGGCGCGCCACAGCCACTGACTCCTCCACCCTGCCACCAGGTGGAGACGATCTCAGACTCGGACACCGAGAACAGGAGCCGGAGGGAGTTCCACTCCATCGGCGTGCAGGTGGAAGAGGACAAGAGGTAGGTCACGGTGGGACCCAGGCTTCATTGAGGGAGAAGAGGAGAGAGGGCTGCCTAGTGTCCTCACTAGCCTAGTCTTCCTGCACATCCTCTTTTCCTGGAGGTGAGACCAAGCCTTTTTACAGAGGGCAGTCAGAGCATCCACAGAGGCTGTCCGCAGAGATGTCACCAGAGGAGTCATCAAACCTAGAGTTCCTGTGCCCATGCGCACCCCAGGTGTTCAGAGGCAGACGGGAGATACACAGCAGTTGCAGGGAAGGAGGGGTTGGGAAAGGTTACATGTAGGTGCCGAGCAGGAACAATTGTCCTTTCCAGGGGATGACAGGATCTGCCAATCCCTCATTACATCCTGTGGTGTACAAGTATTCGAGCTCAAAAAGAAACAAACAGGAAGATTGCCGCTCAGGGGCACCTGGCAGATACAACACTCCTCCTCACTTGGCTCACACAAGCATTTAACCAGTTGGGGGTACCTATTACATGCCTGAGTCTGTGGTGTACCCGAGATAGTAGAATTACCAGCAGCCACTATTCTGGCATTAGGTGGCCTCAGAAAATATTGACTCCTTAATTTTCACTGAAGAATTAGCATTGCCAGCTCTGGAGGGGATACCGGAAAGAGGCCTCTCTGTTGTTTGGTGCCTGTGGGGAGATGCTTTCTCTAATGACTGTGTGGCAGTGCCATATGGTCATTAGAGATATGGTGTCTGGGAGCTTGCCTGGGGCTGGCCATAATGGTTTTGTGGTAATCTGAGCTACCTAAGCCATACGACTGGAGAATAAAACTAGTGTCCCAGGCCAGGTGCGGTGGCTCACGCCTATAATCTCAACACTTTGGAAGGCCACGGTGGGTGGATCACTTGAGGCCAGGAGTTCGAGACCAGCCTGGCCAACATGGGGAAACCCCATCTCTACTAAAAATACAAAAGTGAGCCGGGTGTGGCTGTGTGCTCCTGTAGTCTCGGCAACTTGGGAGGCTGAGGCAGGAGAATTGGTTGAACCCAGGAGCCGGAGTTTACAGCTACCTGATATTGCACCACTGCACTCCAGCCTCGGTGACTGAGCAAGACTTTCTCAAAAAAACCCAAAACACAAAAAACTAGTGTCCCACTAGCAGCGGTTTCTCGCAGCTCCATTCCCAGTTGCTGTCCTTCCCTAAATTTCCCCAGCTATTTCTGGAACGCCCTTGGGATGTCTTGTGTATGCGCCTGATCAAGTCTTTTTGGTGTTCCTGTGGGATTCACCAATTTTCCCGACTTCTGCTTTGCCTCCCTGAAGTTCCATATGCCCCTGGGGCTGTAAATGCCTTCATCGAGGGTGTCATATGCTGCCCTGCTTGCTTGCATGACTTCTAAAGCTGCTGTCCTTCAAACATTTACTGTGCCACAAAGATTACAGAAAAATAGCAATCTGTGGCAAACTCAATTTGCAAATCTATGACTTGAATTACTGAGAGATGGGATAAGAGTCATGGATGGATGCAACTCTATTTTCTGAATCCTACCCACCCCCAACCCTAGTGCTATCCCATGGACTACCAAGTCCACTCTCCCTTTAGAGGCTTTTTGGTTCCCTGTCTAGAGAGGGCTGTGGAGTGGGGGTTCCCCCATTCTTCCTAATAACCCTTGAATCCTGGGAAGAGTGCTGCAGGTCTTCGAGCTGAGACTTCTGCTAAATCAGCAAACTCTTGTCATTGATTGATTGATTCATTCATCAGATACTAACAAAGCACGTGTTGTGTAATAGCTCCTATGCACTGTGTTAAATGCTTCAGGAAACATCAAAGACGTGACTCCTGCCCTCACAGAAGTTATGGTCCAGAGGGAAATCAAGGCAATGAATAAGTAATCCTTGAATAAAAATAGACTATACATTATGATATAACATGTAGTGGGATTTTATTGCCTATTATGTGGGAATATAAGAGAAAAAGGAGATAAGAGAGAAGGGATGTTATTTATACTAAGCAGGTAACATTTAAGCTGAGACTTGACGATTGACTAAACTCTCAGGTGATGACTGGAGGGAAAAGCATTCCAGGGAGAGGGAATAGCATATGTGGAGGTGCTGGGACAGGAAAGAGTTTGACTTGTATCAGGAACTGAAAGAAGGTCCCCGTGGCTGGTATAGGGTGGGGCAGGGGAGTGGGGAGGGAGTTAATTGGAGAACAGGCAGGGGGCAGGTTATGCAGAGCATGGACATGATAAGGAATTGGAATCTAATTATGAGTAATGAGTAGCCATGAAAAGGTTAAAGAAGGAGTGCAACATGATGGAACTTATGTTCATGAGAGATCAAAAGCTGCTGAGTGGAGAATGAATTCGATGCAAGTAATAGTGGAAATGAGAAGGCTAGTTAGGAGGATTTTTTATGATCCAGAAGAAAGGTGATTACGTTTTGCAGTATAGTGGCTATTGTGATTGGGATGTTTTTCTTCTGTTGTATTTTATAACTAGGCACTGCTAGTGTGTGGGAACACTGTTAGGTTTGGATGTTGATTTTATATTCAGTAACCTTGCTGCTGAATTAGGTCTCTCTTACTGGGTCTCATAGGTTATCTGAAAATCATGATGGGCTTCCTATATAGTCAGTTATTTTTCTGCAATGAAGATATTTCTTTTAAATCTGTATTTTTCATTTCTTTTTCTTGTAATACTCCATTTAATAGGACTTCTGTTCTCTGCTGAGTGGTATTGACTTTAGTGGCTATGCTTCTCAAGATGATGTTTGCTACGAATTTTGATGGATACCATTTGTCAGATTAAGGAAATTCCTTTCTATTCCTAGTTGGCTAAGAATCTTATTTTTATTTTTTAAAATAGAAAATATAAGTGGAGGTTTATTGAATGCTTTCTCAGAATCTATTTAGATGATCATAGATTTTTCTCTTTCCACATGTAACACAGTGAATTATATGAATGGATTTTCCAATCTTTCATTCCTGGGATAAACCTTGCTTAATACCATTGTCAGTCTGGATTAAACTTGGCTGGCAGTCATGGGGGCTTAGTAGTGTCTTAAACAAGTGTACTTCTCTCTCACTTAAAAAAAAAAAAAAGCCAGCAGATCGGGCACGGTGGCTCAAGCCTGTAATCCCAGCACTTTGGGAGGCCGAGGCGGGTGGATCATGAGGTCGAGAGATCGAGACCATCCTGGTCAACATGGTGAAACCCCATCTCTACTAAAAAATACAAAAATTAGCTGGGCATGGTGGCATGTGCCTGTAATCCCAGCTACTCAGGAGGCTGAGGCAGGAGAATTGCTTGAACCCAGGAGGCGGAGGTTGCGGTGAGCCGAGATCGCGCCATTGCACTCCAGCCTGGGTAACCAGAGCGAAACTCTGTCTCAAAAAAAAAAAAAAAAAAAAAAAAAACCAGCTTAGATGTAGGGAGTGCAGTGTCAGGACTCCAGGCTCCTTGTATTTTGTATGTCACTTTTTGTCCAAGGAGCTAAAGTCCAAGCTCCTCCAGTCATGTCTGCATTCTGAGCAGTGTGAAACAGGAAAGAGGAAGAGGGATGAAGTCCTTCCTTTTAAAAAAGACTTTCTGACAGTTACAGGCAACCACTTTCATCACATTGGCTAAAATCTCATCACATGGTGGCACCTAGCTGCAAGGGAGGCTGTGAAGTATAGTCATAGCTGGGAAGCAATGTGGAGGGTGTGAACTACATAGCTGAGAATCAGGGTTTTCATGCCTGAAGACAAAGAATGGATATGTGGAGCTCTAGGGATTTTTTTTTTTTTTTGAGGCGGAGTTTCGCTCTTGTCACCCAGGCTGGAGTGCAATGGCACAATCTCGGCTCACCGCAACCTCCGCCTCCTGGGTTCGGGCAGTTGTCCTGCCTCAGCCTCCTGAGTAGCTGGGATTACAGGCACGCACCATCATGCCCAGCTAATTTTTTGTATTTTTAGTAGAGACGGGGTTTCACCATGTTGACCAGGATGGTCTCGATCTCTCGACCTCGTGATCCACCCGCCTCGGCCTCCCAAAGTGCTGGGATTACAGGCTTGAGCCACCGCGCCCGGCCTAGCTCTAGGGATTTTGTTACAGTTTTGCTATATTTTTTTTATATACATTATTAGATTTATGAACAGTTGTTACTTTAAAATTTTAAATCATTTAGATTTATGAATCTATCATAAGTGTTATTGGCCTACAGTTTTTTTATTGTTACTCAATTCAGGTTTTGGAGCTAAGATAGACTCCTAAAATGAATTTGGTAGGTTTCTGTGTGTTTTTGTTCTTTGGAACAATTTGTGTTAGAAGAATTATCTATTCCTTAAGGTTTGGCAAAGGTTGCCTATAAAATTATGTAGGCCTGATGCCTTTCGGGCATAGGAGAAACTTTTAAAACTATAGCTTCAGTTTCTTTAGTAATTATTGACCTATTCTGGTTTTATTTTTTTCTTGAATCATTTTGGTGATTTATATTTGTTTTAAAAAATGAAACATTTTATAAAAATTGACAGCTTTCAAAGTTTTTGGCACAAATATTCTTTCTCATAGTATTAAAATGTTATCAATATTTGTTGTATCTCTATATTAATATCTCCCTTTCACTTCTTTTTTTTTTTAGACAGAGTCTCACTCTGTTGTCCAGGGTAGAGTGCCGTGGTACGATTTTGGCTCACTGCAACCTCAGCTTCCTGAGTACCTTCTTCTTCTTCTTCTTCTTTTTTTTTTTTTTTTTTTGAGATGGAGTTTTGCTCTTGTTATCCCAGGCTGGAGTGCAATGGCGCGATCTCAGCTCACCGCAACCTCCGACTTCTGGGTTCAGGCAATTCTCCTGCCTCAGCCTCCTGAGTAGCTGGGATTACAGGCACGCGCCACCATGCCCAGCTAATTTTTTGCACCTTTAGTAGAGACGGGGTTTCACCATGTTGACCAGGATGGTCTCGATCTCTTGACCTCGTGATCCACCCGCCTCGGCCTCCCAAAGTGCTGGGATTACAGGCTTGAGCCACCGTGCCCGGCCATGAGTTTTTTTTGACAGGGGAC